GACGGATCGGGGCGAGGAGGAGAGTAATCCTGGGATGATTTTGGGGGTTTAGACAGGGTTCTAACGGGAGCGGGTCGGCGGGATAGAAGCAGAGGGGAGGGGGTTGAGGCAGAGCTTGGAGAAAGGTACTAGTACTACTAGCGGAAGGAGATGGTATAGATTCACTCGCCGCACAGGTGGATGCCACTACGGAGTACTCCTCTCGTCCTCTCGATCTTATCACCCCCTTGTGATTTTACACTGCTGCCCTCCCCGCGTGACCCGCTCTGCTTTTGACAGTGAAACGAGCGCATGCAGTGGTGCAGAGGACTGGGCCGTTGCCTTTGCGTGATTTTACGACTTTGCCCCTCCGCCTCGGCTCATGCTGCCCGGAATGTGAGGTGCGTGATTCGAATTCGAAGTGGATTTGAATTTTGAGCCTGGGATGCCCGCAAATCATCAGTTTAGGTCTTTAATGTTACCAGCAATACTCTTACAAATCGTGTGCTTTGGCATAGTTTCGGATGACTTGTTCACAAGAAAGTGAATTGGAACTTAACACTTTGTGTTAGGTGTGTGACTCGATTGGCATGATATGTGCTGGGACAATTCACAGTTCAAGACTGCACTCACTTCCTGGATGTTATTTGTCTAAGCTCGTATTTTTTGGAGAAGAAAAATGTCTAAGCTTATAGCTCCATGTAACTAGCATGAAAAGTCAAAACAGCTTCACACGCTCCGCGAGCATGCTGTGTCAAAACAGCCTCATTCGGCGCTCGTGTATTTGCATGTTGCAACGAATTTTTTACCGGCCTGGTATAGAAATCCCAAAAATTCCCCACAGGCCCATTCGGTACCCCGGTATTGGACCGGCACATCGTGAAAGTTACACCCCAAAACCTCCAATACTCGTCTAAGAGGAGACGCGAGCTTTCCCTCGCGAAATTTCTCCCTCGATTGTGAAGGCGCCGCCATCTCCGCCCTCCGCCCTTTGTCCCGCAATTGGCCGACCGGATGCTAAAAGATTGGATTTTTATTTTTCACCTTCTTATCAGCTGTTGTTCAGCTGTTGTTATTTGTGCTATGTTGTTGTTGTACCAAACACAGGAAATTATGGGGGTGGGGGATTAATGCGGATTCGGTGGAGGGGAGGGGATCACCAAATCCCTTCCAATCCCCAAGTCCCTTGGGGGTGGAAAAACACCAGCGCCAAACCAGGCGACGGGTCATCGTACACTAATTTATGCCGAACTTGTTAAATTTTGTTCTTGTTTGCCTGTATTATAACGTACTTGCGTCAATTACATTTGCAATTTTTTGTGTTTGATCCATTTGAAACAGGGTGGGGGGGTATTTAATGATCACGAGTGGAGGCTGACTCCTGGATGGATGGCAGCAGACATTTGAGGCGAAAAATTGATGATACATGTTGGACTAGCAGCACCTCCAACACGGATCACCAAATGGATGGCACCAAATGTGCGCGGACACATCCGAACGTATCCGCGAACAGCTGGCAGGCCGCCGACCATCCAGCCAGATTTACTAAATAGAATCCCTCATCGTCATTAATGGTGAGGTCGACGACCCCCTCATGGGACGGACCATCCTCGTCGTCATTAGTAGTTGGCTTGAATGAGGCGGGTGAAAGCACAAGTGCTCCCTAGGTGGTTTTGGTAATTAAGGTCAACATATCTCTTATTGGACTAACACTTTTATCTAGTATATTTCAAACAAGTTTAACATTGGAGTGGCATGGACTAAAGGATGTGGGAACTCCTTCAAGATGCTAAGGACAAAGGATTGGCTAAAGCTTCAAGCTCAAGACTCTTCATTTTACATTTTAGTGATCCAAGATCACATTGAGTCTATAGGAAAAGTCAATACAATCAAAAAGGGATGAGGTGTTGCTTAATGAGTTTCTTGCTCCACAGTGCTTAGTGATATGCTCCAAAACCCTCAACTACTTTCCCACTTCCACTCATATGACCTAAACCTAAAGCCAAAATCGGTCGCACCGATTCTTTCTATCCGGCGCCACCGAGTTCATCTGTCATAGCCACTGCCACAAACCCTAGGCAAATCAGTCTTACCGATAGGGATCTCGGTCTCACCAAGATGGGATTGTAATCTCTCTGTGTATGTCCATCATCAAAATCGGTCTCATCGAGTTTGAGCAATCGGTACTACCGAGATTACAATGCAAACTTCCTGGTTGACTCATTACCAAAATCGGTCCCACCGAGTTTGAGTAATCGGTCAAACCGAGTTTGCCTGATCAACTCTCTGGTTAGCTAATTACCAAAATCGGTCCAACCGAGTTTGTGTAATCGGTCTCACCGAGATTACATTATGCCCTAACCCTAACCATATCGGTCCTACCGAGTTGCATGTCGGTCCCACCGAAAATCCTAATGGTCACTAGGTTTACTAAATCGGTCTGACCGAGTTTGTTGATTCGGTCCCACCGAGATTGGTAAATTGTGTGTAACGGTTAGATTTTGTATGGAGGCTATATATACCCCTCCACCTCCTCTTCATACGTGGAGAGAGCCATCAGAAGAAACCTGCACTTCCAACTTACCAGTTCTGAGAGAGAACTACCTACTCATGTGTTGAGGCCAAGATATTCCATTCCTACCACATGAATCTTGATCTCTAGCCTTCCCCAAGTTGCTTTCCACTCAAATCTTCTTTCCACCAGATCTAAATCCTATGAGAGAGAGTTGAGTGTTGGGGAGACTATCATTTGAAGCACAAGAGCAAGGAGTTCATCATCAACGCACCATTTGTTACTTCTTGGAGAGTGGTGTCTCCTAGATTGGCTAGGTGTCACTTGGGAGCCTCCGACAAGATTGTGGAGTTGAACCAAGGAGTTTGTAAGGGCAAGGAGATCGCCTACTTCATGAAGATCTACCGCTAGTGAGGCAAGTCCTTCGTGGGTGACGGCCATGGTGGGATAGACAAGGTTGCTTCTTCGTGGACCCTTCTTGGGTGGAGCCCTCCGTGGACTCGCGCAGCCGTTACCCTTCGTGGGTTGAAGTCTCCATCAACGTGGATGTATGATAGCACCACCTATCGGAACCACGCCAAAAACATCCGTGTCTCCAATTGCGTTTGAATCCTCCAAAACCCCTCCCTTTACATTCTTGCAAGTTGCATGCTTTACTTTCCGCTGCTCATATACTCTTTGCATGCTTGCTTGCTATATGTTGTGAATGTTAAACTTGTGCCTAAACTCCACTTAAACTTAAAGAAGCTAAAAACTGCAACTTTGGTACTTAGTGTCTAATCACCCCCCCTCTAGACACCTCTTCTCAAGGTCTTACAGCGGGGCTGATGGCGGATTCCTCTTCGTCTCTAGCCCCTCGAAGAGCCGGTTGCGCTCTGCCTCGTTGACGCAGAGCTACCAATGCTTGAGGCGGATGGGGTGGGCACTATGCATGGATGCGAGCACCGTCCAGTTCATGTCGTCGATGCTTGGGTCCACCGCAACCATGGCCATGATAGCAACAAGGGACACACGATGCGACTCCAACTGATCCTCCGTCTGCCAGTGCTCCTCCATTAGTGATTGATTGTACATTGCTCCACCTGCAACACTGTGTACGCAAACATTGGTGGCTCCTCCACTGGCGGATGACCCACCTCTACCTCCACCAGCACCATGTTGTAGTGTTGCTCCGCTTATAGCACCCTAAACCTGGACACCGATGGCTACTCCATCGGCACAGGGCGCCTTCTCCTGTTCCTACTCTACCTCCTGCATCGCGGTAACCTCCATGAACACGGGGTCGCTTTGAGGTTGGTCCACCTCAATGCGGACTTGGCATCGGGTGTGCACGAGGTGGACTAAACCTGTGCAAACGTCAGGCTAGGTCGGGTTTTCAACCAGGCATTTAAATGCCCGATCTTCTTTTCTCAAGCCTGAGCCCGACCCAAAGCCTGAAATATACTCTTTTCTCAAGCATGATCCCGACCAGAACTCAAGCTCAAAAGCCTAGCCAGAATTATATATTTTTAGTGTTCATATGTGTAAGCCCGACCTGGAACCCGAGCCTGGCCTGGGTTTTTCATGCTAGGTAAAGTCTGGCTCGGGCTAGGTCATTGGGCCGATCTACACTATATGGAAATTTCTTGAGGAACGATTTCCTGATTATTCTTTGGAAAATCTTGATGAAATTCTTCATAAGTCTATTGCTTTGAGTAAGTTGAATACTAGTGATCCTATGTTTGGTGATCGTCTATTTGAACTTATAAACCTTATGCGTGCCAAAGGAAATGTTGGAATTATTAGCGATATCATTTCCGAAGCTACTGGAATTCATAGAGGAGATTATTGTCAAACTCATACTGATGAATCACC